AAAGAAGGGGGGGGGGGTGAAGAAGGGGGGGTAAGGGTTTGTATAGCGCAAAATCGAAGGATACCTGGATATGTGACGAAACAAAAAAACTTATGCGACGAGCCAAACAATAGTGCATTTGTTTCGTTAAATTAGTACAAATTGTATATAAAACCAGAAAGATATGCACGGGGTCTTGGGGTCATAGAAAAAGTGGTAAAGTTTAGAATTTGCATCTGATATGCACGCCTGACTTATGCGAGCCAAACAGGCCTCTAAGTAGCTTATGTAATATCGCACTTCTCCAATTGAAATGAAAAGGAATCGAACCCTGTTGATGTGGTGGGAGATGTGGGATTTGTTAAGATGAATCATTCGCCAAAACACAGTTCGAAAGAATTTACACATAGATTCTTGGCTCTTCTAAAGGCCATTCGACGGAGATTTCACTTCTTAAAGTGCGATGAGTTGATATTTTTGCTTATTGGATCTGAATGCTGTCGAACACGCTACACGGAGACAAAATGAAAGAAGAAGCTGTTTTGGCAAGACAGGCAGTTGTAAGAAATTTCAAAAGGGGGTTGCCTGCGCCTGTAAGACTTAGATGTATACAATCCCTTGTTCTTCATTGAGTGCAAGTTTCATTACTGGCCTCTCCAAATCTCTCAAGACAAGCCTTAGGACAATCAGTAGCCAGAAAATCCTGAGATAAAGCACACATTAAGGAGCGTCGTTCCCTCCGACACAGCGTAGTCGTTTCCGAACATTTGTGTATAGAATTTATACGGATCAAACCTTTAGGGATTTCATCCGTTGTAGTAAAATTAAAGTTATAGAGCCGATCCTCGTGTAACACTGGGCGTTGTGTGCGAAAGCCAACTATTGTTCAATCCTAAAAACCACTACCTTCTCTTCTAAAATTAGATCCATTCCTGCTAACCTGGAATGTATTAGGGAGCGCTCCTACTTACATTCATCTCATTGCTTACCGCATACGCGTTAATATCTAGGGAACACTCAATGATTTGTTCGCGCTTACTTGTGCTTCTCGCACTTTGCTTGGCTCTCGTGTTTTGTTTAGCGTGCGCGAAGAGAGATGAGATGACTGCTGCAAGAAAGCTTGCACGGGCTTGAGACGAGATGAGATGAGGTGATAGCGGTATACAGTTTTATTTAGAAATGACTGAATACGAGGAAAGAGTTTCGAGGCATCAAATAATAGACGAGTGCACCTTGGTGCCTTCTCGCGATAGCTAATAAGGACTTTACAAAGTTGGTTCAGGATACTCCAAGGCTGAAGAATACATTTGTTGCTGAATAACTAAGCCAGGGCACTGGTTCCCAAGATTGAGCCCGTAAGCTTGCTAAGAATTCGAATTGTGAAAAAATAGGGAATTTCGCGGGACCACTGTCATTGTATTTTCAAATATGAGCCTCGTCGCTCGAAGTACCTCACACACTATCAACCGGGTCTATCACTAGAGCGTGAGTCGTTCTGTTTTTTGAAGCAATGATCTTTGTTAAGGTCCGTCATCCTGCTGTTTTTGATCTGGCCATGCTCATCGTTGATCTCCATTTTGGGTTCCAAATCGAATCCATCTGTCGCCTTTCTCTGCTTTTGCTGTGTAAAGATGTGTAATATTCTTACCCATCTTACTGCCAATTAAGTGAAGACTTGTGATATTTCAAATCAAAACCCGGGTCAAGAAAGCCGGAGATATTCCCATTTTTCGTACTCGGTGTCGATCGAAACCCAGTGGACCTCGCTTATCTCCCAACCTCCTTTTCACATCCTCTCGGTTCCCTAGACCATCTACATCTCATTATTATCAGAGCTTCCTCAAGGAACTTCGAGGCAACTATGATTATCCCCGATCTACATATCGTAAAAGCGGGTGATGTCTTGCTTTTTTTCTTATCAAGGGAAGTGGATTAGCTCAACCTGGAAATTCTCAAACACATACCCACAGCCTCATGTGGCTCATGCTTATTCTATTTATAGACAGTTTAAGACAAGAGTGGTGGTGGCGTATGTAGATCTCTAATTGGGCACCATCCTTGTTGCTGATCTTGTGCGGGGGATTCGCTAAACCGAAACGAAACGAACGGGTTCACCGTCCTCGAAATAAATATGCAGCATGCTATTGCATCATTAATACCAATCCGCGTACTGTAAAGTGCAGAATACAAATTGGGTAATTTACTTCCAGATATACAAATCCCTGGATTAGCGCAAAAAAGGCCCAATCAACCCACCGACCCTGTTCTCCTTTTGTTAGATTTCGCTTTCCTCGCCGTCAAGTATCTGATTAGTACTAGTGTCTGGAACGGCGGGTACAGTTAGGTACCAACATAATACATCCCGAATACCACATTCCCGCAGCTCGAAGCAAGATCGGCGGCCTCGTGGGCTTCATGGATGTCATTAACCAACTTTTTCCCTAGAAGGGCGCGATAGGGTCGACCTGACCGTCTGGGGCCGCCGAAGAACTTTAGGTCCCAGATGGGTCAGGTTGCTAGGATCATGAGGATTACACCCACTTGGTACCCCTTTGATTTTGATACGTTTTATGCGGGCTTGTCTTCCTGCATCTGGTGATCTAGTGTTGTCTTGTGCCACAAGGCTTATGGATGTTGATTCTTTTATTGGGTGAGTAGGGCTTTTATGGAGAGGAGTTGAGATGAAGGAATGATATGTAGGAAGCGGATTGTTTGCTGTGATAGGTTGAGGGATAGATAAGTCAGGATTGGGTCGAGGAGGGAATTTGTTTCATGGTTCAGCGTTTGGTAAATATCTCGACTGGTTCAAATTGGATGGTGGACGAAAGGCTGAAGTTGGGTTAGCTTTCTTTGGTTGATATACCTTTGCTTACATGGATGGTTCATGGCGATATGTAGATTTCTTTGAGATTGTACCTACGAAGCCTTGATGAGGTATGAATAGGGGAGAGTGTTGATGGAAGACTCGAGGCCGCGTGGGAGACAGGGGTTTGAAGGATCATTAACCTGGGAGTCGTTGAGATTTGGTCGATCCACCCGAACAGCGACTTTTGCCCGTCGGTGGAATCATACTCCATGGGGGATGGCGATACCTATCCTGGTTTTATCCCTGGGAAATTGGGAACGAATTGTTGGATTGAGTCAGTAACTCATTGCGTACTTCCAACATGTGGAGGTGGTTATATCTGTTGTTCCAACGTGGGTAGAGTGGAAGAACGGTCATTATATGACGCTGATAAAGCCTGCATCTATTATTAGTGACGCCCTGCATTCTTCTTCATATTCATCCTAAGTTTTCCAAGTGCAGTAATCAGCGAACAGTGACTTGTAGTTCAGTAGAACCAATTTTAATCCAAGTAACAAAAGAACCAAAATCCCATAACACTTAAACTTTATACTATATCAGTACAAGTCATGTAAGAGACAATGCTCATCAATGTGTTTCGCAATTTTCAGCCCTATAATACGTAGGTGGTATTCGTAAGTTTACAACTATATACCTAGCCCTATGTTTCTGGACTTTTGAAACCAAGGCACGAAAGAGAATAGGTTGCCTGGTTTTCTTGAATATGTGGCAAGAGTAATAGCTATCAAAGGGGTACCGAGACTGGGCATAGTTCTATGGTTGCATATCCTAAATCTACTCCTCATCCAAGATGTTCCGAATGTTTGGGTTCGCATTCAGGGGTCAGCTTCTCAGCAAAGTAAGAGCATCATGATTTGCAAAACTTAGAAAATGCTGTGTGTGTTCGAGCAAGGGGTGTGCCTAGGCAACTCATTATTGCTATACGATTTTCCGTCTCAAGCATGTTATTGTCATGAGGAAGGGGTCGTCAACAACACACCAGCGCCGTCTGCGCCACAGCTACTGTACACAGCAACACTCCGCCCTCAACTGGAACAGAGGAAAGAAAATGATGCCTCAAAGATGTCTCATACGATCCACAACGTGTCTTCTCCTGAATCAACGCCTTGGTGACCGATGTCCCCACCCTCCTCTCTCCCAATCGCAGTTCTACCACTCCAATAAACACCAAACAGCACAATCAAACCCCCTCACGGCACTCCGTCACAACTAAGACCGGCACCAGTTTCTGCCTTGTTTAAGTCAGCAAGGCGGTTCTCATGTGGCGTGCCTCAAAAGCCACTAAATCACCCCAAGCCCCAAACTAAGGGATCCGGAAGTCTGGCTCCAAAAGTTTAAATGTGCCAGAAAAAGCAAAAGATAAGGTAGCTTGAAACATTCGAATGGTTAGTTCGTGCGTGCCGTCCCGACTACCAGTCGAGTACTGCGATTGCTTGGTCTCAACTGCCCAGCCGACGGCAGTGTCCAAGTACTGAGATTGCTTGGTCTCAACTGCTCGGCCGCCAGATAGCCTACGACCGCAGCAAGGCTAGTTTCACGGATGCAAATTTCCTTGAGACGAAGTTGCGGGTGCTCTATATGCGTCTGGTACCTTGGAAGTTAGATGCTACTCGAGTACTACGACTAAAATCATAGGCTGGTTAGCCTCATGTGGATTCTGTTGCGTTGGATTTCGTTGAATGAGCTTGCTTCGAGAAGCGTGTGTGTCATGAGGTGAAGCAAATTCAGATGGATTGAAGTTGCTGAGAAGAAATGCTCATAAGATTCCGGGCAATCGGAGCTTGCCAAAGATTCAAGGAAAGTGGATTCAGCTGATACCTCTGGAATTTGTAAAAAGATTGCTATGTACTCTCCATGAAAAATGTTCAATATCGCCAAAAATCAAATCGACCACCCAATGTTGACGACCCCCTCGTTGTCTACTGAAACTCCTTTTAATCAAAATAACGCCTCGCTATGCCGACCAGTGCCATGTAGCCGTTTTGGTATTTCCATTTGTTATGCAACCAATGCTCCAATAATACGAGAAATTCATAACTCATTCACCATTCAGGCAGAAGAACCGCTCCTCTCTGTCGTCTCCAAAGATTCGCTCTATCGACCCAAACTCGACCAAGCAACCAACCCCAACGCTGCAACACCGGTTGCGAAAACTCCCACGCCATTTCATTGAGCGGATCGTCACCCCAAATAGTTAACTGCCCAATATCTTCTTGTTCCGTTCCCGTGAGCCCTATCTCCTTGATGAAAACTTCCGCTACATCTGGACTAACCGTCAAAAGCCTTTCTCTAATTGTACGAGATGCGATCATGTCTATTTTCCAGTAGTGTGGGATTTCCAGCTGAGCTTCGCTAGGCTTCAACACATCCGGCAAGTTGTTACTTAGTGATTTTAGAAGTGCGAGATGCCGATCGGAATTGGAGGTGATCGACCTATCGGATAACAAGGGCTTGAAGATTTGGTTGATCTCTGCTCGTGCTTTGTTACGGTCGAAGGGAAGGATGAGACTATCGAACAGATCTTAATATGGATAAATAAGCGTGTTTGTATCTCCTACGTACTTTGATGGCTGGGAACTAAGTCTGCTGTTGTCGCGGGAATGCTCGAGTGATTGAGGCATATTCAAAGGCTGAAAATGGGATCCCACAGCAGATCTAGATCGGTACCCTGATGACTCAGGTGAGCTTTGTGAATTGTGACGGATTCCGGACGAATGTACCATAGAATATGGCTGAGATGCCGAGGGATCGGTGTATGCTTGCATACTCGAAGGCATCATTGATGAGGTCAAAGATAGAGCCGACATTGGCATCATCTCAGCGCCTATTGATGGAGGAGGGCTACCGGCCCCTGAGATAGATGTGCCTGAGATGGATGGCGAAAGCGAGTATGACCGACCATCGTTTGTCATTGATGGGATGTTGACAGGAGCTGATAACAGGCCATGCGATGAAGATCCAGATGAACCATACATTTGAGAACGAAGTGCTTCATTCTCTCGACGAAGTTCATCGTTTTCGTATCGCAGGCGTTCAATTTCCTCTGATTGCTCGCTACTCTGCTCCTTTTGAGCCTGCTCGAGGTTTTTGAGATGCTCCTTCCTACGACGACCTAACAACAAAACGTCAGAGATTTGGTTGTGATACAAAGCGGGGTTGGAAGAACATACGGAATTCTCGCTGTGCCAGTCTGTTATACTAAAGAGGGACTGATGTTAGGATACAAATTGCAAGTGTCACCAACCAAGCCTAGGCAGTCGAACGTACCTCGCGTTTGCGTTCTTCTTTGTCCGCTGCCGAGTCCATGGTGTATTGGTTGCCTTTGATAGGATATTGATTTGAATGTCGTATAACTATAGTGTGGGTCATTGTGTCGTTTATGTTGGGTGGGAAGTGAAGCTATTATACGGATTTCCGGATTACTGCCAGGAAATGGGAATGAGTAAAGGCTCTTGTTTGTCTGCTCTACATTGTCCTGTGTACCAGGGCCTTAGATGATATACCTCTTGGGACCCATCCTGCCGCCTGCATCTGCACTTCCCCCAGCGGGGGTGCCAATGAGCCCCTTTGGGTTGAGTAATTCCAAGCTGCACGGATGCTGGCTCTCAGCCTTGAGATGGGACTGGTATGTCCCCCCCTGGTCTGATCCATGCCGTGACATAGCCCTTGAGCTCAAAGTAGGTTGTGCTTTTCTCCACGTTTTCGTGGGTTAGCATAGCTTCACTGGGGATGCGATTGCTGCAGAACCTCTCATTTTCTTCTTATTGCTATTCTCTCAGTATTCCCAATTCGGCAATCGACGGCCTTACATGTCCAGAAGAAGCAGGTGGACATGTATTGCATGTACGATTTTAGCTGTTTCCTGCCCACATTGCTGACAACCCACTCGTTTAGAATTAGATGTTGCTCATTCAACCGGTGTCTATGGCAGTATGGCTGCTGCCCATTGACTTCCAGAATAGCATCATCCGGAAGGCTATTTTGCATACAGACAAGACCAGCAGCACATTGTTCATGCCATATCATGCTCCAGGAATCAGCCTAACTTACTCATCTCCCTCGAGGGGTTTTGGGCTGAGCCAGAGTACTGCGGGCACCGACCGTCACGTAGGGCTATAGCTAGCTAGCTTGCACCGCACGACGATCCTGCAAAGCGGCAATCGAGGGAAAGACTCCGAGTGAGTGTCGGCGTACGAAGGAGACTCCGACTCCCTCGCCTCGGGTGGCCGGTGATGGCAGCTCCAAAGCGTCAATCTCACACGCATCTGCCACCTGGCAAGTGGGAGAAGAGGGTGTCCAAGGGACTCGATTTAGGTGCAGCGTGGAGGCGTGGAGGCGTGGAGGCGTGGAGGCGTGGAGGCGTGGAGGCGTGCAGGCGACAGAGAAAGCTGGGGAGGCACAGAAGCCATCACGGGCAAGGATGGAGGCCCGTGAAGTGGAGGGGGAGGGTCTGAGGAAGAGGGACCCAGGGAAAAAGAGGCACAGAGGCTCCGTGTTGGAAGCGAACACAAGTGGAACAACAAGTGGAGCTACAGAAGCGGCGTCAGAACCAGGGTCAGGAACCTTATTCAAGCTGCAGTCTACTTCGTACGTCTGCACTTTGCACATTTGAAGCGCCGACTCCCATCCAGTCAAGCGCCATGACATGTGGTCATCGTGCTAGTCCGGGCTACGGTATCAGAGAATTCCTTCCTCTCTCCTGACGGCGGAACAGCAGTGTTGGTGGGGGCGGAGCTTGATTTGATCGTCAAGACTTAACCCTCATCTCACATACTGTACAACTGCAGTACGCTGATTTGGTCCGGAGATGCTGTCCTGGTCGATACTGGAATCCTCGTCTCATTGGCAACGCTGCAATATTACGATATGCATGTACCGAGTAGTTCGTAGTCTCAAGCCCGTAGGGACTGACTGTGTTGCATTCCGTAGCTGCGCTGCTACAAAGTACGAAGTAGAACTTGATACGCTGTGCCATACGCTGCGGTTGGTCTCCATAATTGTTGCCGATAATAGATTGTCTATGGGATCGTCGACGGTCGAGCTTAACCTCAAGCGAAGAGGTGGGGTGTGGTGGAACTTATACTAGTGCCTTGGTGCGGCCAATAGAGTCATCAAAGCTCGCGCAGAAGAACAAGTAGAATGTTCAGAGTCAGAGTCGAGTCTTCAATCCGTTTACGAAGCAATTTTGGTTGCATCACACCCACAGTTGCTTTCACATTGTTGACACGGTAAAAATGTCTCTTGTTGCTAGCGATCAGCTGCATCAGGGTTATATCAACAAAGACCGGTCGGTACTCGGCGAGCCGCCACGGCTCTTACTCTTACATCACTAATTGTTCACGCCTTTCTGCTTGCTTTTACCCCTCTCTTGCTCACTTGAACATGCGAGACCGCTTATCTTCTATTCGGGCAGGGCATGCACGGCAATCCGAAGTAGCGTTCAAGTTTGGAGTGGCCGTCGACTTCGACTTCGACTTGGATGAACCTGTATGCAAAGGTGCGAGAACCCGCTGGTTTGGCCTATCAATGTGCAAAATCTGCTTCCTCTCTTTAGCTTAATTCAGGTGACCCGTAAGCGCTCGTAACTTTCGTTCAATCAGATTTCGGTTTTCGGCCGGAGCACCGACAAAAGCCGACGCTTTTCTCTTCTTAGACGAGCCTCCATTCTCGCTTCTCGTACTCTTCCGATTTCTCTCGAGTCGCTTCTTCAAAAGATGCAACTCTACGCTTTTCTAACCTTGATACAATGTAACTTATTTCCAGGTGTTCTTGACAGCACCACTCACAATTGAGCTACCGTATCTTCCCTCACTTCTTCCCTACCGTGATATACCCATGCTCACACCACTCATCCTCCCAGCTTGCCAGCCTCCTGGGATTGCGTCTGATGAAACGTGGGAGCACCCCATGAGCTCGCGCATAAGGTCCGCAACCCCCAGCCACCTTCCACCATTGTTCACTACCATGTCCAAGTAGCAAACAAAACGTTATGGGAAGCAGACCAGAAACAAAATTATGGAGATTCTGAACGGCGCTGGGCCACCCAACTGCGTGAGGATCAGGGCGGGCCAGCCTCTTCGACATCCCTTCTTCCATGTGTTTGCAGTGTTTTTTCGTACGTGTCAGTCCTACAGAAGCCGGGGATGAAGTCGTACCGGAAAAGCATTCCTTGTACGTTTCCTCGTTTTCGATAGGAGGTAAGAAGATACCGACAGTCCAGAATGATTGTGGAAAAAGAGAAACTGCTATTGAATGAGTTTGAAATTCATTTTGACTTTATTCGAGTTCAATTTCTACAGGACGAACGAGTCTCCAAACAAATCGAATTCTCAGCGCATCGACAGCTGGTGATAGATGAAATCATGCCCCGCATTCCATTAGAATGGGCAACCCGCACCGAACATTCGAATTAATGTTCTATTGGGAAGTCTGAATGGGCCAGATGGGCGGAACCTCCTCGTGGCCTCACAAACGGTCACTTGAGTCCCTGGCAGGATTCAACATTGTGATCCTTGGACGTTGCTCCCAATACTCTCAGTCATCCTTTGTTAGTTTTCTGTGGAAATCTACGGTAATTTCGTGGATGCCGAAATAGTAACATTCGTAAGTACTTGGCTTAACAGAACAACACCATAAATGGTTTCTATTTCTACGCCAACCTCCCATTGAAGGCGGTTGCGTACAATTGGGGCTCCTGATAGGCTACCGGTATGCGGCAATCTTGCTTCTGAAGGTGGAGCAAATATTTAATTAAAAAGGAGATTCATGAAAGCACACAAGAGGCACAATCATCCAAAAAAAAAAGTCGAGTACGGTATCGATGTGCCAACGGAATGTAACTGCATACGTCTGTCGATGCTACCAACTAGCCCAAATCGCTTATCGCTTAAGCGGATACTTTGCAGCTGAGGCCCGTGGTCTGCTCCGTACCGTGGTAAATCGTCTTCTCGAGGTTTCTGAGGAGACCAGGGTTCGTACTCGGTGAGTGATCACTGCATATCGTTCCCCACACCAGAGTCACGAAGTACCGGCCGGTTCGATACAACATCTTGCTCTGCTGTCCAGGATTCTATAAACCCTCACTTGTTGAAATTACGCATTTTCCCGGATTGCCTTTTACCCGAACCCTCTCTTCAGGTATGAAATGATCTGCGAGAAAGCGGTGTGTTGAAGGACTTCATTTGTTGAGCAGGACTCCGACGTCCTCCCTGGTCTTTCTCTCGTTGATTCGTCCAGCTTCCATGGCTGGTATATCGCGTTGCCCGGGTTCACGATGTGGTTGCCTTCGTACATCCCGCGCGTGCTTTGAAGATCAAACCTGTTCGTTCGTATTTGGGCCAGTGCCTGTTGCCTTTGATGGTTGTGATTGTTTTCTACAAGGCGAACATTGAAGAGGGCTGACAAACTGGCCGGAACGTGGCACCCTTGTACAGGCCGCCGGCCACTCGTAGAAAATATTCCAATGGATTTCCGTAACAGGTATCAATTTGGGGAGGACAAAGTCATATGATTTTCTGATTCTCTTATCGAGTTTACACGTGAACTCTTTTTTGCTTTTTTGCTTTTTTGAATCAGATTGCCTGAATCAGATTCGCCGTAGTTTGTAAATCATCCAATTCGGTAGCTATTTTCGATGACGTATGTTTATTTACTCACGTGACACATGAGTGAGTCCTTCCATCCAAGATTCCCATTCCTCCTCGTACTTTGTAGATTTCAGCAAGAATATTATTAGAAAACCTTGATAGGTAGGCCTAAGAAGATTAAAAGCCGAGCCCCAAGCGATTCCTTTTGTCCTAGATTCCCATCGCTGGTCCCAATCCAGCATCCCACTCGCCTAGCAACTTTCCATTTCCAAGATCACCATCACCTTTCAAGATTTTCACCGTAGAAGATTTTGCTCACCTCGAATTGGATTTAAATTCTCCTTAGGAATAGTAACGTAGTGATTAAACTGCATTTCGAGTAAGAAGCGAGTCGACGAATCCTACTTTCTTCCCTTAATTACACTATCCAAATAATTTACCTTTCTCGCCACACATTCATAAAACCCCTCGAAAATGGGGGTTTTGACGAAGGAAGGGTATAGATGACATCAACAAGGAGGTAAAGAAGTAAATAGTTCCTTGCTTTCTGGATCTCATGCACGCGATGGTTTTGTTGCACGTCGCTCGTCCGAGTATCTGCCATCTTTCTGCCGTTCCGTTCCTGGTTGAGTTCTACCGATGAACAACATAATTGATCATGTAGCATGAGATTAGGGGGGTTGTGTTGTGTTGGTGGGGATTGCGAGATGGGCTGTTTGTTTTGAGTTTGTGGGTTTGTTTAAAGGGCTTATTTGGTTGGCGTGGGGGGAAGGGGATGTTAGGTGGTGGGTGGGAAATGGTGAAGTTGTTGTTAATGGAGAGGAAATAGTAAATCTTGCGTCCGGTTTTTGGTTGGAAGATTTAGTTGGGAGATAGGCGAAACTGATGCCATTCCTCAAAAGTAATCTAGAGGTGGTTGTGTTGCTGGAAACTCAAGTTCATGGTCTCCTATCATTATATAACCATTTTATAGAAGGGCTACTTTGTTTTTCCAGGAAAGAGGTCCATGGTATCTTCGCCGTAGACATCCGTAACTATGTCTTTTCGAGTGTAATTTCCTCGTATATTAGAGTAGATAATCGAATAGTAGTATCTTAGTATATTACCGTAGTATAGTTGTGTGGTTCTTCATAGTGCGAGGAAACATAGATCGCACCTGGGTTTGTTTATATATAGAAGCATTATATAGGCATTAGTGCAAAGGTTAATCGGCTTTTCAGTCGATTATAGTAGCATATCATGGATCTAAGTTACAAGTTTACAGCGATTAAGAAAAGTTCGAAATTTGAAGCCGTGATAATATTGTTGTGTAATCTTCTGTGTCTTCCCGAGTCTTGACTATAGATTGTTATTAAGAAGAGAAAGGGTAAACAGACTTTCAATATCGAGGGGGGTAAAGATGAGAGGGTCCAAGAGTACTACTTGGATTATATACTGCGGTCAAGGCATGCTTTGCTTGTTTACAGGAGAGGGGATTATATGAACAGTAAGTTTCGTAGAGCAAATTTTACTTTGTACCTGTAAGAATTGAGCTAACTACAATAAACTCCATGTTCAGAGTTGTAGTAGGAGAAGACTGCCATGCTAAGAGCCGACTCCAAAATAAAGTCATCGATCCGAGATTATTGTCAATAGGTCTAAAGATTGGTTTCTGTTGTTCGATAGAAAGGGGAGAACTCTTCTATCATAAAAGTAAGTCACAGGCGGGCATTAAATACCCAGTGTCAAAGCTAGTGCCACTAGTTCTGCGCTAGTGGAAAGTGAGTAAATATTAAATATCCTGCAACAGTTTCCACACCATGGATAGAACTGAATGGATCCATTCGGTAGAATTCCAGTATTCACTATAAAAAAGGAGAATTATATGCTGGGGCTATATAAGCCAGGTTCCTTTCCAAAGCAGTTGGTCTGGACAGTCATCTGAACGTCACTCTTTCCAGTCATCCTGGTACTCTCGGCACTCCACACATATGCTCCCTTCAACAGAGACTATTTACAGTCATTTTAGGTTTAGGGTTCTTATGATGCGTAGAAAGGAGAACGTTGCAATGCCCAGCTCTCTCACTATTTGCTTGTAGTCTTACTTGCACTTCATAGAAGATATAGGTACGAATTATTAAATCGAAGGATCTTGAGCTATCTAATCCGCTTTGATCATTGTTGTGCTGATATTATTAGAGGCGAATACTGCTAAGACAGCTGTATAACTACTCAAAGTTTAGTACTCAGTTGAACGCATCTCAATTCAAGCTTACCTTGCACCAGGAATAAAGATGTCCACAGTGGACGCTTCCGTCAGCAACGAGAGTACCGAAAGAAAGAAGCCTGAAGATATTACAATTGTAATCAATCTTCCGGTTGAACTTGCTATATTGTCCAGTAAAACTACTGGGATGATCAAGACCATGGTTGCCAGCCAAGTCGTTATATCGCGACAAAACCTGCGCCATTTAGGACCAAGGAGAAGGATGTGTTCATCTCCAGTAAAATTTTGGGTTTGCTTCATTTTTGACAGTGGAGTATACTTGGGATGCATTTTAGTAGATACATGGGAACAAGACTGGGGTTGCCTGGGGTTGGCACGTACTCTGAGAAGGTAATAACGCAGCCCAAACATGGAATCCTCAACTACCGACTCGGTACGTGTGATCGCATTGTCTACAGGACCAGTAAGGTTCATGAGATCGTCTTTGTGATCAAGATATGAGGAATCCTGTCTTGCCAGGCATGAAGTTCCTTCCACCCAGTTGTTCAGACTAATGATATCTCTTTCCGTAGATGCTGGATAAGCGAGTACTTTGGAGCTCTGCTCTAACATCATATCTATTTTCAAAATATTGAGACGAATATCTTCAATTCAGAGTTTATGAAGGCGAAGTGTGTGCTCAAGAGAGCTGGAAAACGCGGGTAACCTGGGCGGAAGCGTTCCACTAAAGTCGAAATGAGAAGGAGCTTCTAGCATGATAAAGAACGATAATTACATTGGGAAATGGCATCTCGTGATTCTCTTTCCATATTTATGAGAAATAATCCCCTTGGCGATTCTGCCAGATATTAGCGGTCCAACTGATCATGCTGTACCTCTAACAAATTTGTTAAATTTTAATTAAGATGCAGTACAGGTATCTTTTATTCATCGGCAGGCTCTGTCAAAACAGTTGATGCAGAACCTCCTCTTCTTAAAAACGCCTCCTACATTCACTGCCGGAAGCCTAGTCGTCATACCTGCATAAGAGTCCAGGGTCGGGTAATATGCCTACAGGAAATCGGTCCAATAGTACTTGAACACGTGGAAGTCTTTTCTCATATGTATATTGTTGGTGAACTACATTATATATGCTTGGTAAAGTGTAGAAGCAAAGATTGTCGGTTTACAGTACTGTAATTTGTACACCTCAGCAGCTCCTCGGTCACAGATTAAGCATCTTCAAATTTTCCGGTGCAACAATGACAGACCCTCACAGTAAGAAAGAGGAAGATTCCAACGTCAGTATACCATGTTTGGCGTCCTTTTGTGCTCGACTGCTCATAGCCCGGTGCAGCCTTCTGTTTCTGGTTACGATGAAAGCCAGAACAACGACGGTGGATTCCGTCCCACAATTAAGAAATACTCCACCGTAAGCAGTGATCAATTTTCGGAAATTTTCTTCAGCTGATTTTAGAGCTGCAGGGTAACAAATTTCGTGTTGCAGATTCAGTCTACATCTCCGCAACAAATGGACGTGCTCTACAAGGCCCGTACCGTATTGCTACGATTGAAGCGGGCAGGACTTATACGTTGAGCCTAGCGGATGGGACTATGATTGACAATGGTAGAGCTTTTGCTGAGAGATTTGGAGTTTTCTTAAGATTACTCTATCCAGGCTCAATGATTTTGAAGACATAGGGATGAGACGAGCGATAAGACCTCCATTACTCGAGTATCGAGTTTTTCATAATATTTGCGACCGAACTCCCTGTGAAATAGAATTGATGACTTTCTTCTGAAACATCCTCGTCAACTGCGATTCATTCTCATCGTCCATTTTTACATCAAAGCTCGCAGCGAGGCACTTTTCCACTGAATCTTTATATTCCTCTCCCATGTAGTGGCCCAGTCGATCTCTGACAGCCGTCTGCAGCTTCTTCTGCATATCGGCTCCTGAGGGAATCGGCTTTTTGTGTGACGGATACACGATATCAGCAGCACACTGCCACAATCCAATCTCCAACAACACAACCCCTAAGGAATAGATATCGTGGATCTTTCGGTGGCCTTTTCGTGAGTTACCTTGCCGAGATGGGTGTCGATAAACATTGAAAGCGACATCGTCAGTTGGTCGTCCTATTGATGGATCTGAACTAGGACGAGAAAACTCGAAGCCTTGTAGAAATGGATTGTCATAGTCAACTTTCCCGGTCTCTTTGATAGTAAGAAATATGATATTTGGGCCACTTATGCCTTGGTGGACCCACCCCACCGAATGCCACTTCTGCACTGCGCGTGCCAGCATCAAGCTAGCCCGGAACCGTTGATTCAAAGTTGGCCTTTCAACACCTTTTGTATTTTGGATGGCAGATTGCAGAGAGTTGTATCCATTTTCGGCCACAATGTATGATGGGGGGATCTCAAACTCGAGAACATAACGATACTCAACAGCCTTTTGATACCATCGTTGACATCTCAGTGCTCGGAACCCTGTGTGTCTTTAGGAGCCCCCAAAATCCCCGCGAGACGTTTCACTCGTTCTGTGAGGTCGGGGAAATCATCAGGATTTATATAAGATCCATAAATCTTGAATTCTTGAAGCACATCTGGATTGTCTTCTTTTCATTCTCTGTCACTTGTCTGTGTGATATCTGCATTATGGGGGGGGGGTAAGCGAATAATTTGGCGCAGTCGCAACTGATTAGCTATACCAAGCGACTTGACTGCGGAATTATCTATTGCTTCCTGCAGTATGGTATCCTCCTCTGAATGGGCCAAGGAGTTTAGCATATTCCACTCGAGGCTCTCTACAAGAGTCGAATTCTCTTCGTTAAGTTGGCTCAAGATACTTCTAACATGCCGCCAGAAGCCCGTTGTTCTTGAATCATTGCCCGTAGATATCTTTTCCTGGGCGAAAAGCTGGCCAGCAATAGCTTTCACGTTATCCCACAGACTCAGGATTTCTTCTACTGCTGGCTTTTCGAAAGCTCTCATCAGGGAGTTATCCTTCTCCAGACCAGCCACAATTTCGTGAATATGACTGGTTGTTCCGACGACTCTTTCAACGTAAAGACTTGTGATTGTTGGTGGAGCATTCTCGCCCAGCCAGCGGACTATCTCTTCCAAACTCGATAGGGAAAAGCCGTCCCTTGTTCCCACACTGAGTTGAAAGAAAGAGCCTTGGAGTTTATTGGAGGCAACTTTCTCAGCAGCGGTAAAGGGCGAGGTGTCAGAATAGCGCTCTAGACGAATAGGTCTTCGTTCTTGAATGAAGGAGATATGGACCGGCGTTGCGTAAAGTCCTGCCATCCGATGCACTAACCGCTGATGCAAATCAGGTATTAAGACAAATCTAGTCTCGTCAAATATCTCTTTGACTTGCTTCTGAAGGATCTTTGTGAATGACTTCTCCCCTGGCATGGGAGTTTGCATTCCCATCGCAGCAGCAGCCAGTATTTCGAAGCGTGACTTGCTTGGTTCTCGGCGTGTCCTTCCAGCTTGCGCTGCAAAACAGCAGTCCAACAAAAGTAAGACGTCTGACTCGGCTTCTTTGAGGATCTCCTGAACACTATACCAATTTAAAGTAGGATTTCCTAGCTCATGTCTCCCTCGAGAATAAGCGAGGTGTTCGTGGTAAAAAAGGATGTGGCTTTGGGGGCAGTGAATAATTTTGAACTCACATGCCCATACAGCCCTTCTCTCCTGGCCAGCATGACGATCACCATTTTTGTCACCGTGTCCACCGTAATGGATTATCAGCAATGACGATGCATTCTTTTCCTCGGAGGTTGTAGCGAGTTCGAGCAATATCTGGTTGACCACACCGCGTAAGTGGAGTTCGCTCTGAGAAGAAGGGATAGCAAACTCCTCGATCGCGTACTGGAAAGTGTCTTGAAGCAGGAGGCCAAACTCACGCCCCTCTGTTTTGAACCCCTCATTGCCTTCGCGCCAGTAAAGTATCAATACTTTGATTGATACGTACTTGTTAGAACGTATCGCTGAGCCTATTTTCTGATTGAGATGTTCTTTCCATGACTCGGCTGTAGTGAGAGCATCCATTATTCACATTGAAATCCAGGATCTTTCGGGGAGCGTATTTGTTCAGCTGCAAGAATATTAGGAAGGTGTTCCAGATGATTGTATATTAGCCAGTGAAAATTCAAAACGGCCAATGATAAGAAGCAGTGTAACCTCAGCACACGTGACGGTTATTTAACGTCAACCGACATGCCTACGCGATGAAGTACTAGTAGCCTCATATAGTCTTGCAATAAAGTGCCCAGGATCATGTCTCACGAGAGAATTATTCCGGTTTACAGATTCAACTCCAACTATATACCTTCTTCGGAATGTACGACGAGTATTCGGCCTTCTCGAGCGCCATCTGAGTCAGAAGATGGGCCATCATATATCGCTGGAAAGTTGTCAGAAGTTACCTCTTCTTCGGGCGTAGTGGTGACCGTTGACTTGCTGCTAAAATCCTTGCAGCAAAGCGGACTACCAGGACCTGTCATCTTGGTCGGTCGTCGTACCTTTCTCGGTCAAGGTGCGCAATTCACGGTCCACGAAGAAACCATGGCCTGGCCAGAATTTGATCATTTTTCGACCAGAATCGTGGCTACGAAACAGCCCATCTTTGCCTTGCAACCAAATTTGAGGGTCAACATGGCGGAGCCTCATGTACAAGCGAACCTGCGAGATGTTTATTTAGAGATTTTGGCTCTTACCGACCCGGCTCTACGGATGCACCCGAATGTTGTAAGGCTGTTGGCATGGTCTTTTAAACCCAGCAGTTTCCATGCACCTTTCAATTTAGTCATGGAGATTGCCTCGTGTAACTTATCAAAGTTTATCTCTAATGCGGGAGTCGATTTGTCGCTTCGTATGAAGTACTGGCTGTGTCGTGATGTGGGGGCAGGTCTTGATGCTTTACATGAATGCGGCATCGTTCATGGAGATATCAAACCTGATAATATATTGATATTTGGAGAAGGAAATCGTGCTGTGGCAAAAATAGCTGACTTTGGGGGGTCTGTTTATGGGGATTTATCTGAAAATTCAAGGATTAGACTCGGAGGAACGCTTGGTTGGCAGGCTTCAGAGGTTGAAGAAAACAAGACAATTACACCAGCCCAACTGTCAAGGACGGACAACTATTCATTTGGATTACTTATTTGGGGTGTACTTCTAAATGATGGAAAGGTCCCTTGCCGTATTGAAGGAGAGCATAGACAGATAACTTACAATAGAGAGATGGAAACCAAGGGCCATGAGATTGGTTTGAATCCAGGTTCCTTCACTCGAGAAGCTGCTTTTGTACTGCTCCACCAGGAGCCAGAGGATAGACCATTCGATGTAAAGAAGCTCTTTGGTGACATTACACCGGAGGCAAGTCCAACCAAATCCCCTCTGTAAGTAGTTTTCGTATCTATATCTCGCATCGCTTTCTGACAAACCATTGCGCATAGCTCCCATCCCGCATTCAGGACGGATTTAGTCATAGAAAGCTTAGAAGATGCCTCGCGAAACGACAGTGTAAAAGGCCGATACCTATCCTGGGAACTTCCTGCATTTGCATACCATTTCTTGGATGATTTATATTCTCGTTTTATGCAAGATTCTCGCAGCGTCCCTGCTGATGTTCTGTTTTCGATGTATCTTGCATACACTCACACCATCTCGAGAAAAGCGGGACCTAGTAATCAAGCCCTAGGTGTTCTGGTAGCTTCTGCCCTTAATGGCTACGAACCAGCACAAGCAACTGTCACAGACGCATACGAATTCTATCGCCTTGACCCACCTGAAGGAGTCAATGAGCATCTGCTCGACTGGCTAGAGCGGGCCACTGCTAGTGGTTCAATTCAAGCGAAAAGAAGACTTCAAAACCTGGATCTGGAGGCAGTATGTAGGTCAATGAAAGATTTCCGCACATTTGGGGGTTATAATCGTATATAATCCACGATTGATCATTCAAAAAACGGTTTGGAACAACAACCTGGTGTCGAATATGGTGCTCTCCACTGGTTATCATGTTATGGCAATTTCGACGAATTAGTCGAGTATCTGGATCAAAACAGAGTTTGCGACATCGACCAAGTAACCGAGAACGATGATACAGCTCTGTATCTCGCTTGCGCACGGGGTGCAAGCAAAATAGTTCTGGAACTACTGCGTCGTGGAGCATCTCCTCGCGTGAAATGCACCTATTTCGAAATCGGTTGTATACATTGGCTTTTTGCATTTGATGAGGAGTCACCAGATACAACCTTTTTTCGAGATCAAATTTTTTGTTCTAAATCACTTGCTCTCACTTGCTTGTACTAAACAAGCCGATTACCCTCCATGGAGAC